AATTTGAGCTGACCTAAAAAAGAAAAAATCCTGAACCATCCTACAAAAAGGAAAGGACTACCAAACTGATCTACAAAAAAGAAAAAAGAAAACTGAATCTTCTCACAAAAAAAAAAATCTGCTGGCCTATGAAATAATAAAAAGTGATAAATATAAATAAAAAAGAAAGGGGAATGAAGAATAAATCAAAAAAAAAAAATTTTTTAAAAGAGGGGTAACGAAGTTAGAAAAGTTAAAAAAATTTTTTTTTAAAGGGAGGACGTCAAAGTTAGAAAAATAAAAAATTTTTTATAGAGAGGAAATAGAAATAGTTAGAAAATTTTTTTTAAAAAAAAAGAAGAGTGGGAATAAAAGAATAAAATCAAAAAAATTTTTTTTTTAAGGGAGTGACGAAAAAAAATTTTTTTTTAAAGGAGGGTGACGAAAAAAAAATTTTTTTTTTATAAGGGGGTGACGAAGAAAGAAGAAAATTTTAGAAAAAATAACAAAAATAAGAAAAGAGAAAAGGAAAGACAGAAAGGAAGATCGGAAGATCAAACTCAGAGTTTATATAAAAAACAAAAAATGTATCATAACAAAACAATAAACAATCATGTGATCTCGTATTATGATACAGGATTTTTGTAAATTATCTTCTAAAAATATTAAGTTTAAAAATTCCGTATACATTCCGCATGATTAATTTTTTCCGTATACATTAGTTTTTTTAAAAAATGTTCAAAAATGAATTGCTTATTAAATATACGGAATTTGTATACGGCATCTATAGAAACGTACATAAAATGTATACAAAACGTATCCTTTCCGTATACATATTTCTTATAGGGCCAGCTATTCTTGAGAATACATGTATTATTAATTAATTTTGCGGAAGCATTTATAAATCAAACACCATTTCAATTTCTTTTTTTGGACATCATGATCCAAGTCTTGTTTCCTATTGAGATATTGAATAAATATTTTATTAAGCTCATAAAGATTTCATCAAAAAATTAATGAATTACTATGACTTTTTTTCCAAGAACGCCCTAAATTATTAGTCAACAAATTCGAAGATATCTACATAATCAGCCTTTTTTTTAATCAGGTTTATCTTTTTTAGTTTATACCATTTTTTGTTGGTTGATTTTTTACTTTGCTTTTTTAATATCATTTTGATTAGGCCTTTGCTTTTTTCTTTTTGCTTTATACAAATTCTTTAGTTGGGCTCGATGTTGTTTCTTTTTTGTTTTGTATTTTTTTTTATTCTGTCAACTCAATTTTGTACATTTTTTATCTTCATTTCCTTTTCCTTCAATTTACTGTTCATTTTTCTTGATCTTCATTTTTTTTTTGTTTTTTTCACCCTTAATTCTTAGGGTTGTTTAAATGGGATGTACAGTCAAACTTCGATATACCGATACTGTCGGGACAGGGAAAAAGTATCGGTACATTGAAACATCGGTACATATATATTATCTGTAGATTATAATGCGGGCCAAAATCTAATTCTGGCTCGCACTATGCTTAATTCCGAAAAACCAAAAAAATATGATTTTGCCAGACGCTCGAATTATAAGTTTACAATTTTTTTAACTCGGGCCAAACCAGCCCAAATTAAAACCAGTGTAACCTAAATTATCGGTACATCTTTATTATACGTTACTATAAAGGGACAAAGAAAGAGTATCGTTACATGTTACATCGCGAAACTATATATAATATCGGTACAACAAGGTTTTTTTATTAATTATGAAATGGGATAATTGAAATTTATCGGTATAGATCATTTATCGGTATATAGAATATCGGTACATCGAGGTTTGACTGTAGTTACCTTTGTTTTCGTTCTCATTTAACTTTAGAAATGACCTAATTAAAAATAGGTTTGTTTATACCTTTTATAAATATATAAGATTAAGAATATTATTACATATACATTTTTTTTTTTGTGCTTCAACAATATCTAATGACTGTTATTTGTCTTTTTTTTTATGGCTTAAAAAAATTGTAATTGTTAAACAATAATACTTTTTTTCAATTAATTTTTTTGGATTCTTGATAAATGAATAAAATTAGCCAATCTAAATATTTTAAAATCATGTGATAAAATAATAAACGTCCTTTTATTTATTATAAAATGGATAAAACTATGAAACATATAAAATTAAAAATCTATAAATTATTAATTTAATTGTCAATTTTTATTAACAATTTTAATGCGCTTTTCTACAATAAATCAATATATTAGCTTGTTATTTAATTTTATTATAAAAATTAATAAAGTCTTAATATTTACCTTGATCTGGAGTTTCAATTTGTAATATTTTAGTAATATTACGCTTTTTTGATTTATTACTAATAAAAATAATAAAAATTGTATTTGATTAAGATAAAATAGTGTTAAAATTAGAAAATACACTTAAAATTTTTACAGTATAATTTAATATCAATACCTTATTTCTATATCAAGATCTTTTTCCTTAGAATTATATTCTAAAAAAATTTAAACTGATTTTAAAATTAACTATTCATAATATTATTTTGTATAATTCAGTAACTTACCTTCATTGTCTTCAATTAGTATATTATCTAAAATAATAAAAAATAATTATTAATTTCAAACATAAATCATTTTTTTGGTGCAAATAATACATACCTTGTTTTATACTAAATGATCTCATTGAAGATAAATTAGAAATCATATGGCTTAGTGGTCTACTAGTATATATAGCACCAGGATGTGGTTTTTCACTGAATTCAGGACCAAGTTGTTTCAATTGTATTAATTCTAATCTTTTTCGTTCTGCCTGTTTGAATATTTCTACGTATTTATTCTTATGATACCAATTATTAAAACTTTCTATAATTTCAGCAATTAAAGGTCTTTTTGAAGGATCAGAATCCCAGCATCTTTTCATTAAATTAGCAAAACATTCAGGAGTATCTTTTGTAATTTCAGGTTGTTTTCCATCAATAATTTTATAAATCAGATAAACGTCATGATCAATATTAGCAAAAGGTTTACAACCTGTTGTTAATTCCCACATAATCATACCTATACTATAAATATCTGATTCTTTTGAAAATGCACCACCTTTAAATATTTCTGGTGCAATATAGGGTATTACTCCATATACTTCATTATCTGATAAACTATAATTTGCAGGTAATGATAATCCTAAATCACAAATCAACCATGTTTGATGTGCTAACAATATATTGCCACTATGAAAATCCCGATGTATAAAATGGTTTTTATGAATTACATTTAGTCTGAAATAAATAAGTAATAATAGTTAATATTATAATTTTTAAACAAAATTAATAAATATATTAATAATACAAATACTGACCCTTCTGAAATTTTCCATAAAGTATATAGTTTTTTTTTCCATGCAATATTACTAAAATTCTTTTGCAAATGGTTATGTAGATTTCCACCACTTGCATACTTCATTACTAACATATAATCCTTTGATTCAATATCTTGTAAAATACCATAAACTTCAATGATATATTCCAAACTATAACATTGGAAAAGTGATTTTACCTAAATATATAATTAATTTAATAAATGTAATAAACATATAAATATAATAAACAAATAGAAGAAATCAATTACCTCATTTAAAAAATATTTACTAATGTTTTGTGAATTCAAAAATCTTTTTACAGCAACATCTTGACCTAACCAAGTCGCCTTATAAATAATACCAAATCCCCCTTTTGTAACATACTTAAAATTTGTAATTTGAGTATGTGGAATTTCATTTATTGATAGCTGGTTTGTTCCAGAATCAAGGAATATTTTCCTAACATAGTCATATACATATAATATGTTTGAATTCTCTTTAATAGTGTCTAAACAATTAGCAATCTTACAATTAAAACTATCAAGTGCTACTGTACTCTGTATATAATATAGAACATCATTAATGTCTCTACATGTATCAATATCATCTTTGGTATTAATAGTGATAGATACTTCTTCTATTCTTTTACATCCTTTACATTGAGATTGGTCTGTAATTCCAAATATGATATTTGTTGTCAAACAATATTTACACCCAACATAAATAATCTTGCAATTTGAACAAAATTTTTGATAATTATATTTAAATTTTAGAAATTGATCACAAGCTATACATTGATTATAAGCATCCCACCAAGGTAAGTAAAGAATTGAAATAACTTCTTTAGTTAAAGTTGATTCTATCCATCCAGAAGAAATTTTATAACAATATAAACACAACTTAAATTCAATAATATTTACAGACATTTGTTTATAAAGTATTTTGCCACATAATTTACAGTCTTTTTCATTTTCAATCAATTTTTGTTGTCTATATTTATCCTTATTATTATTAATTTCATAAAATCTATTATTTGTGACTATTTGCTTAAAGCATAAAATTTCAGAGCAACTATTACACCACTCATGGATATTTTGTATACAAAAATCTAAACTTCTTGACCTATGTCTATTACTACATTGATTATCTATTGTAGTTATATGCACATCTAAATTGTTGCTAGCTGTATATTTAACATATAATATCAAGCAGTGTTTACAATATTTTTGTTTAAATAAAAGTGTTGCAGAATAAGACCTTTTACAGTAATAACATTCATCCTCATCATTATTAAAAGGAATAAACATGATTGGTATAATAGGGTTAGAAGGATCTTTCATATTTTCCAAATTTGCAATTTGAAAATATGAAATCAAATCTATTAATGGTTTTAAAGGAAGATAAAGTCTACTTATACAATTATATATTTCTAATTGATTAGAATTGTTTCCATTTGTATAATTAGCTATTTGATTATAATTATATGTATTTATTTTTGTAGAAATAAAACTTTCTTCCTCAATACCATTGGTAATATCAATGGTAATAGATATCATTCTTTTGCATTTTTTACATTGAGATTGATCTGTAATTCCAAATATAATATTTGTTGTCAAACAATATCTGCATCCAGTATAAATAATCTTACAATTTAAACATGACTTTTGACAATTGGATTTAGATTCTAGAAATTTATCACAAGTTACACATCGATCGTAAGCATTCCACCAAGGTAAATAAAGAATTGGAATAGATTTTTCAGTTAAAGTTGATTCTATCCATCCAGAAGAAATTTGATAACAATCCGAACATAACTTAAATTCAATGTAATTAGGCTCATTTAAACATTCTTGCTGATAAATTGATTTACCACATAATCCACAATTTTTTACTTTTTCAAAATATTTTTTTGCATAAATTAGCCTAGTACTATTATTCATGACTATTTTTTTAAAGCATAAAATTTTAGAGCAACTATTACACCACTCCTTAATGTTTTGTGTACAAAAATCTGAGCTTCTTGGTTTATGTTTTCTATTACATGGAAAATAATAATTGTAATTATTACATATATATACATCCAAATTATCATTAATAACTGTATATTTAATATATAACATCAAGCAATGCTTGCAATATTTTTGTTTAAATAAGAGTGTTGTGGAATAAGACCTTTTACAATAGTAACATTCATTCTCATCATTATTAAAAGGAATAAACATAATTGGTATAATAGATTTAGAGTAATCTTCTATATTTTCCAAATCTGTGAATTGAAAATATGAAACCAAATCTATTAATGGTTTTAAAGGAAGACAAAGTCTACTTATACAGTTATATATTTCTAATTGATTGGAATTCTTTCTATTTTTATAATTAGCTATTTGGTTATAATTATATGTATTTATTTTTGTAGAAATAAAACTTTTATCTTCAATTCCATTGGTAATATCAATAGTAATAGATATAATTCTTTTACATTTTTTACATTGAGACTGATCTGTAATTCCAAATATAATATTTGTTGTCAAACAATATCTGCATCCAGTATAAATAATCTTGCAATTTGAGCATAACTTTTGACAATTAGATTTAGATTCTAGAAATTTATCACAAGTTACACATCGATCATAAGCATCCCACCAAGGTAAATAAAGGATTGGAATGACTTTTTTAATTAAAGTTGATTCTACCCATTCAACAGACATTTGATAACAATCTGAACACAACTTAAATTCAACATAACCATAATCTAATTCATCTAAATGTTCTTGCTGATAAATTGATTTACCACAAAATCCACAATTTTGTATTTTTTTAAAATATTTTTTTGAATAAAGCCTAGTACTGTTATTTGTAACTATTTGTTTAAAGCATAAAATTTTAGAGCAACTATTACACCACTCCTTAATGTTTTGTGTACAAAAATCTGAGCTTCTTGGTTTATGTTTTCTATTACATGGAAAATAATAATTGTAATTATTACATATATATACATCCAAATTATCATTAATAACTGTATATTTAATATATAACATCAAGCAATGCTTGCAATATTTTTGTTTAAATAAGAGTGTTGTGGAATAAGACCTTTTACAATAGTAACATTCATTCTCATCATTATTAAAAGGAATAAACATAATTGGTATAATAGATTTAGAGTAATCTTCTATATTTTCCAAATCTGTGAATTGAAAATATGAAACCAAATCTATTAATGGTTTTAAAGGAAGACAAAGTCTACTTATACAGTTATATATTTCTAATTGATTGGAATTCTTTCTATTTATATAATTAGCTATTTGGTTATAATTATATGTATTTATTTTTGTAGAAATAAAACTTTTATCTTCAATACCATTGGTAATATCAATAGTAATAGATATAATTCTTTTACATTTTTTACATTGAGACTGATCTGTAATTCCAAATATAATATTTGTTGTCAAACAATATCTGCATCCAGTATAAATAATCTTGCAATTTGAGCATAACTTTTGACAATTAGATTTAGATTCTAGAAATTTATCACAAGTTACACATCGATCATAAGCATCCCACCAAGGTAAATAAAGGATTGGAATGACTTTTTTAATTAAAGTTGATTCTACCCATTCAACAGACATTTGATAACAATCTGAACACAACTTAAATTCAACATAACCATAATCTAATTCATCTAAATGTTCTTGCTGATAAATTGATTTACCACAAAATCCACAATTTTGTATTTTTTTAAAATATTTTTTTGAATAAAGCCTAGTACTGTTATTTGTAACTATTTGTTTAAAGCATAAAATTTTAGAGCAACTATTACACCACTCCTTAATGTTTCGTGTACAAAAATCTAAGCTCCTTGGTTCATGTTCTTTACATTGAGAATAAATTGTACATATAGATACATCCAAATTGTCATTGTCTGTATATTCGATATATGATATTAAGCAATACTCGCAATATTTTTGATAAAATAGACGTGTTGTAGAATAAGACCCTTTGCAATTGTAACATTCATTCTCACTATTAATAAAAGGAATAAACTGAATCAGACCAGGACTAGATCTTGAATCAAGGGAATTTGCAAATTCCATATGGTTATATTTAAAAGGTCAGAAAAGATTCAAAAAGGGTTGAGCTCAATTATAACGATATTTATGTTTATTTGGCGTTATTTATAATTTCCATTTAAATTTATTATAAATTCTTTATAGAACTTGTATTTTTCTATTTTTCGATTCAAAAGTTCTAGAATTCCATGGAAGAAATGCTGATATAACAATTTCTTATTTCGGCTAGTATTTAGTATGCAGATCAGGCAAATCGAAAAAAGTCCGATGATCTACAAGTTGAAAATCTTTTTACATCGAAATAATATTTTCTTTTAAAGAAAAAATTCTTTAAACTTTATAAAGAAATTATTACTCGATTCTTTTAGTTAATAATTTGTCAACTTTAATAATCATTCACCTAAAATATTATTAGTATTTATTTACATAATGGTGCAGTTAGCCGAAAAACGAAGCTGAATTCCTGATTGCCGATCATCCGGGTCCGGTTTAATCGCAGAAAATCCCTGGAATTCCACGATGATCTAATTATTTTTCGGCTAACTACACCGGTAGGTAGCAAGTAAGTAACGGAAATTGGCTAAGTAAGTAACGTAAAATTACTATTTTAGGTCAATTTACGTTACTCCCCTTATATATGGTACTAAACATCATCTGGGTTATTTTTTCAAATATTTCACATGATGTACAATATATAAAGTAAATTTATTAATCGGCTGATGGCTGATTTTTTTAACTTAGCTAATTTTTGATCGGTTAAAATTTTATTGATTTAATGAAATTTTATTTGCAAATATTAAAATTTAAATCACTGTATTTATTTTTAATGAAGATACAATAACAATAAATAAAAAATTACCGACATTGATCAAAGAGAAAGATGCTAATAAAAAAATGAAATAACAATGGAGTAATGGAAAGTAATAGAAGAAGAAAGGGAGTAAAAAAGAGTAATTAGAAGTGATAGGAAACAAAAAGGAGAAATAGGACATGATGAATAATGAAAAAGAGTGATGGGAGACGAAAAGGAGTGATGGGAGACAAAAAAGAGTGATGGGAGACGAGCAAAGAGGAGTGATGGGAGACAAAAAGGAGTGATGGGAAACGAAAAGAAGCGATGAGAGACATAAAGAAATGATGGGAAGTAAACAGGAGAGAAAAAGAAATAATGGAAAATGAAAATATGTAATAGAAAATAATGGGAGACGAATAATGAGAAGTAATATGAGGTTAAAAATGATGAGAGACAAAAAATAAAAAAAGATCATGATAAGAGGTTGGGTAATGATAGGAAACCAAGTAAAAAATAAAACCATAAAGTAAAAAAAAAATGAAGTTAGTAAGAAACGAAATATAAGATAAAAATGAAATAAAAAAAATAAATAAAAAATAAAAAAGCATACCTTTATTAATTGTAGAACCGAAAGAACTAAAATATCTAAAAAAAAAATGAAATAAATTAGTGAAAAACGAAATATGAAACAGAAACAAATAAATAAAAAATAAAAAAATGAGTAAGAAACGAAACGTATAGTAAAAAACAACTGAACCTTAATTGCAGAACTGGAAGGACTAAAGGACCTAAAAATGATGAAATAAAGTTAGTAAGAAACAAAGTGTAATCAAAATGTAAGTTAGAGATAAAAATAAAAATACCTTGAGACCGAAAGAACTGAGGAAATAAACATGACGCGACCATGTGGCCAATTTTGCCAATCAAAAATATTAAATCCGTCACGTGATCGATGACCTTAGTAATAAGAGTAGCGTAAAGTATTTACCAAAAAAAATTATTTTATTTTATTTTATTTTATTTTATGTGAAGTTGGACAGATAATTAAACAGAACATATACCCCCGAAAGGGAATTTATCCTACTTCTCGCTATCATCCATTACAGAACGGACCCAAACTTCTAATTAAATGATGAACGTAGTCTAATCCTATGCTACTACCAACAAAGGAATAATAAAATCCTAAGATAATAAAGACTAACTAATAAGAGAACAATATACGAAATATATATAGAAGTTGTTGGCGTACTACACATTATAAGTGCAATCTTAAAAAAACAATCTTAAAAAAAAGATCCGTATTTTCTTTCAACCAAAAGGTCGCCAACCGTAAATACTGTCATGGTTGGATTGATTCACACTATTCTAAATTGTTTTTGAGAAAAAAAAAGAGAAACACAAATAGCAATAGCTATACTAAAAGTAAGAGAGAAAAACCAAAATTATGTGAGAAAATAAAATTTGACTCTATATATATCTAAAAGATAATTATTTGTTAGGTGCGTGACGTGAAGGACCTGCTTCTGTATAGTCATCAGCTAAGGCAGGATAAGGTCGTCTTCATTTGGGAACTTGTGATCTAAAATCAGGGAGTAAATTAGTACTTGACGCGTATATGCGTTTATTAGGCCTGCGTTCGATTTCTTTGGTGTCATCTGAAGTGTCAGTCGATGCTCCTGGCGGTAAGAAATGATAAACTCGGTTGCGGACAGTAGTGTGGGTATTGGAACCAAAATGTTTATTGAATTCTTCCATCTCTTTATAGAGTATAATTTGATGTTCACTATTATTGGAGTCGCAATAGCTTTTCATAAAATCTGTCATTGTATCATAGTGTTCGATACTTCTATCTGTTAAAATTTTCTTTATGTTTTTGCGCTTGAAGAATCGCTTTGCAGACGTGCCATGTAGGGGAAATCCTTCTCTGAGTTCTTGTTGTACTCGGTTTTCTTTCGTCAATTAATCTCTGTGCCCGACGTGTTGCGCGAGTAGAGCGTGGAGGTAAATTGCGTTCTAAATTATACATATAGGTAAACCATTCACGAGAACCAGGAACTATTGGTCGGTATAAAGAGGTTCTTGAGGAATAATATTTCTATATTTCATAGGAATAAACATGTTGGGAACGGGATTATACGGTTCCACTGTAGAAATCAGTTCATTAGTAAGAGTGTTCGGGGCGTCCTCATTAATAGTCTGCAATGTCACATGACCGATATTACGGTTGATGTAAGAAGTTTCAAAACCATAGTTAGGGTAATCTAAACCATGAGTGTATTTAAGATGCTTGATCGGTTTGTTTACCAAAAAAATTTACGTTCCGTACCTTATATAAGAGAAGTAACGTAATAGATCATGTGACTTTACGTTACTTACTTAGCCAATTTCCGTTACTTACTTTCTATATATTCTAACTACACCATTATTTATTTAACTAGGACAGTATTGAAGATTGTGTATTAATAAGAAAATATGCGAAAGATATTTATATATTAAGTAAAACAATTAAATTTATAAGGATGAAATTGATGAAATAAATAAATAATGAATAAAAGTACATTTATTAAATATATTTTGTAAATTGAGATAGTATAACTATTGATATTCTCATTGGTGATTCATAGTCATTACATATCATTATCATAAAAATATATATATTTATTTATTTATTTACCTAATACGATAATTGAAAAATTATTTCCTTCAATATTCCGTAATTGTAATATAAAATTCTTAACTCATTAGAATATCCAATGACTTTTGTATAAATAAAGTTTATTTAATGTGTATAATTAAGTTCATAATAAATTTTTATTTGTAAAATGGAACGATAAATTTCATAGCTTAATTTATGAACTGATAAAAAATTTGCTAAAATAAAATGAAATAAATGATATTTAAACGTCTATTAAATTTAGAGATATTAAACTGCGCATTGGGCCTTTATTATGTTCTAATAACTGTGTATTGTCAAACAGAAATATTTTTAACATGAGTATAAATATGAAAACATGAATTTGATAGTTATGAAAATCAGTCTAATTAAATAGTATGGTGACTATTAATTAAATGCACGTTACTTGCGAATTAGAACCGTTTATACTTTAACATATTCATATTTATTTTTATCTATAGGGAAAGCGGAATATACATATATGATTTTTAAATCAAGTAAGATTTCAAAATTTTTTTCGTGTCGTTAATGTTAAAGGAAAGAAACTTATTATATTTATTAAATTTTTAATATGTATTATTTTTTTTATTGAATTATTGTTATTGCGATTTTAAAATATCTTTTAGGTAATTAATTATTACAAGTGAGCATATATTTCTTTTGAAGGAAGAACGGAAAGAATAAGAAAAAAAAATAAATACGATATACTATATATAATTCCAATAATAAATTTTACGTCATTGATAATTATGAATTGTTACTTGTTTTGGACGTGGGTTGTAAGATGAGAAAATAGTAACTAATATCTTTCTGATTACTAATTGGGAATTTTTAATTTTTGTTATTCTTAACCATTTATAATAAAATATCATGTCTGTATTTAAAAAAAATAGTTTAGAGATTTAAATTTAAACTAATAAACTTATCAGTGATGATTTAGAAATTATTTCATAATTTATTCCGATCAATAGAGAAACCATTGTCCATTCAAATATTAACATTAATTAATAATTTTCTAAGTTTATAAAATTAAAATTTTTTAAACAATGATATGATATTTAATCCTAATATTCTATCATTACACTCATTACCCATAATTTGCGTTCAAAGGATTTATTATTTGAAGTTGAGGTCTTGAGGATGTATTTGTGCTTATAACGGAACCATACGTTCCAGTAAAAATATCCGGTAATAACTAGTATCTACAAAGTGTTGTGGGGATATAAAAGTTTTTGCGACCAAATTGGGAATTACGATTAGATTAAAAAATATAAAAACTAATCCATAAAAATACTAATAATACACCAAATTTACATGCATTTTAGGATATGATTGATTATCAATTCATCATAAATCTCTCGTATCATTTGTTTGCTTCGATAATTAAATTAATATTAGTACATAGAAAATATAATAATTCGTGACAAACAGGTTTTCTTTTTTTAAAAAAAGAAAATCTGTTTGATTACGGAAGTTAACGGAAAGTTTATCAGAAAAATGAAAAAATCTTATTTTCTATCTATTACCTAGAAAAGACGTTGTTAAATGATTGCGATACGTAGCAGTCGTAGCATGCTTAAAAATCATAAAATCTATAAATAAACATAATAAATTAGCCAATAGTAATTATGACCTATAAAGATCATAATTTCTATTGGCTAATTATTTAGGATTTTTAACCATGTTGCAATACGTATTACAAATTAAATTCCTAATTCAATGACGAAAATAGTATAGCCCAAAATGATCTACAAAATAAACGTATTTCCGAATTTATAATAAGGAGGTTCGGCTAACAATGGCGAAACGTTTCACTACATCATAACAATATGTCGATTATGTCGTAATAAAACCCATTTTTGGCTTTTACACAAAGAGAAAGAACAACTATCGTCTTAAATTTATGATTTTATGGTATATGACATGCATGTCATTTGCATAATGATCACTTTCATCATGTAAATGTGGTCTGCAATCTTATCGGATCTTGCATAATAGCCATAATTTATTAATTTAAATAATCAAAATGACAACGGCATTACATAATCCGTTTCATTGTAACTTCTGATTGTGTTATTGGGATGTACAGATAGACAGATAGTTCTTATTTGGGAATTGGGATAGCTCAGCCCTGTAAAAAAGTCGATCTGTTTTTTATATTCCATCTTTTTTCCGTAATATCCTTATATCACGGAATTTATCAAATTATTTACATTTTCCATGAATGGATCTGCGAAAGCCTCATTTTTATGGAGTTTTACAGAAATAACGATAGAATTTTTATAGGGCAAGGGTATCACGAGTTAGAGTTGAACAACTAGTATTAATTTAGTTAGATTAGTACAACTTGTAGATATTTATATATATCTTCATTATCACCTCTACTTAAAATAAATTGACTTTCATCAAATATTCCTTTTTTTTAAAAAAAAAAATAAGTTATTTTAACGAAAACATGATTAAAAACTTTTTAAATTGGATCAAAACTATAAATATCAAAGATATATACTCATTTAGGAATCAAGTTCCGATTAAAGAAGTAAATTATGGAATTGATGATATTTCTAAAAAGGAAGATTATCGAATTGCAATTTCTCAAAATGGAAAATTTATTGTTACATTTGATACGGGTAAGTTATTAGAAAATAATTTATATATATTTTAATATAATAATTTTAATGATTTTTTTTTTTATTAAATAAATGAATAAATAAATAGCAAACCTTCGGATTAAAATATTGGAAAATAAAGATCATCGTCCATTCACATCCAGTAAGAAAGAAGTCAATTCCAACGATAATAATAAATATTGTGGACTCGACAACCTTGATGAACTAGATGATATTGGTCAAACTATCACTTATTTTAAAATAAATAATGACTTTATGATTGAAAAATTCTATAAAGAAGAATATAAACCTTCTTTATTTGAAGTCGATTCTTTAGACAGCGATATAATCAATGCAAGCGACTTTGAATGGTCTATTGATATATCAAACATGCAAGAGATTAATGATGGCGGATCTTTTATTCTTATCGCTATATCTCATATAAACGTTAACATGGATATGAGGAGAACTGAAAATAAAAAAATTGATAATAAAAAGAATGATTATAAAAAAGAAAATCTTAATAAAATAAGATTTAAATGTTCGTCACTGTCTGAAAAGTATGAATTAAAAGATGAAGGTAATAAACCTGACGAAGCTTGCGATATTGCAATTAATATGAAACCAAGACCTACAAATAAGATTAGTGAAATAAAAAAGGAATCGCTATTTATCGTTTTGACCTAAAAAAAAATCAAATTGGAAAGGAAAATTACGTTTTTAATACAGTGACTTGTCATTATTCTAATCAAATTTCAGGAATATGTAGATTTATTGATGATTCAAGTAAAGACGATTCAAAATCGTTAAACGATTCTCGAATAAAAAGATTTATAATATTGAATTTTCGTGGGATATATAATTTTGAATTTGATGATCATTTTGATTCTTTTAATTTGAATGAAAAGTTTGAATATCCAACTAATATTAGACGTGAATTAGATATTTGGTACACTGATAATTGCATGAAACGACTTTTATCATGTATTTATGATAAATATTTTTTTGTTCCACAATACAAAAATGATGTGTTATTACTTAAAGGTGAAGCTTGAAGTCCTTTCCTCTTAAAGATATTATAGTAGATGTATTATTATTAATATAACTATAATCTATTTCTAGTTTATGATCTTGCAAAAATGGAATTAGAGACTACTATAAAAAAAAGTAAAAACAAGAATTATTTCACATTAAACTCCAACGACAACGCCTTTTCTTTTAGTAGATTACAACTTTGTTTTACTCGAGGAAATAATACTATAAGGTAAGTTACATGGTAGGATGGTACGTGAGTGAATGTAGTTGTAAAATTTTACATTATGACTAATTTTGTGTTTATTAGGTTGTATTATATAAAAAATGGTTTAGAAGTTGCTTTTAAAAGTTTTAAAGAAATAGAACGAATATATTTATTGGAATTTATTGAAAATGATGAAAAGTTGCTTATAATAGGGAAAGGTCTGGAAAAAGAAGGGCTAATATTTGCAATTTGGGATTTATATAAATGAAGAAAATAAAGAAATAAATGAAATAGAACAAAAATTAAAAGAGATTAATGAAAACAAAGAAATGAACAAAGAAGAAAAGGAGAAAAGAAAACAAGAGATAATTGAGATAATTGATAAAAATGAAGGTATAAAGGTGAAAAGGAAAGAAAAAGTAATTAAATTAAAATATATTATAGAAAAATTTCATATGGTAACACACGCTTGTAAAGCATTAGTACATCTTAATAAGCGTTTTAAAAGTAGTAACCATCTTGCAAATAATTACATTAGAATACACGAAGTAGGTTGATTTTAATAAATGAATTTATTCATTTTTAGAAAACAAAGCAATTAATATTTTTTTTTTTTAATCAAAAAGTACGAAAAAATGTTTAGCTATATTGAACATATAGTTTGGAAATTTGCTAAATATGAACCAGAAAATTTTAGATTGTTGGATGTTCGATATAATGTTATGAAAAATTTGATTCTTGGTGATTGTGATTATTTGATAAAATTCATACTATTTGGAGATGAAGAGGAAACTACTGAAAGCAGTGTGGTTCGACATATACCAAATAGTGAATTATGGCCAGGAAAAATGTTTTTAAGAGATGATGATCTTGACTTTGATGAAAGCAATGATATGCTAATAGGTAATAAAAAAATCGTGCCAAGAAATAATATGGAATTAGTAATTTATCATTACAAAGGCAAGTCCAATAGCATTATTTAACATCATTAGTTACTTGGGTTTTCAAATAATTTAACAATCATTAATTAGTAAATATTTTTGTAATTTACAACTAAATTGCTTTATTATTATAGGACGTGAACTTAAAGATACGAATGCTATTGCTTATTTTTTGGAATATTATTCTAGACGTGCAACTAATTATGCAGATTGGATGTGTACCGTTTCTAAGGCAATTCCTTTGTTATTTAAATATAATTATGGTTTGTATTTTTATTCTAATTAATTTTTATTCGGAAAGAATAAATTTACAATTTTTATATTATTAAATAGATGATTATGCTAGAAAATTATTTTCTAGAGAATGTTTTATAAATCAGGATCATTCCTTGATTCAAGATTCTAATGAAATTATTCCAAGGGTATACTTAGAAAGACGTAATCATAACATTAAATTTAGAGCATTCAGTCCTATAGTCAAACTGAAGTCTATTAAATATGGGTGGTACGATTATTGGATTCGAACCCCATTTAAATCTTTGTATGATAGTATAATCAAATTAAAAAATGATATAGTAATAATGTATGAAAATTTTGATAATGAACTTGGAAAATCGACGTTAGCTTTACGAGTGGTTCCACTTCCCGGTTTTACTACAAATAATATTGTAGAGAAAAAAGTAGAGTATAATTTTTTAAAGATATTATTAAATATTATTCTATTGCTATTCATACCACGATTGTACAAAATTGGTCAATCTGAGAGAATTAAGCTAAGCCCCTTTTCTAGGACAATATTGTGTGAGAATGATGATACACATGATATTTATGACAATCCAGCAATTGAAGCGGTTATCAATTTTCAATGGCAAAAAGCAAAAAATTTCTTCTTTTCTCTCTTCATTCGGTTTCTTGTTTTTGCCACTTGTTTTGGGTTAGTTAGCTGGGCATATTTGGATCATAGCACTATTATTAATCAAAATTTTTTGTTTATATTGATTATTGTGTTCTATTATTTATCAATTTATCAACTTATTACTGAAGTTTTACAGCTTCGTTATCGTGGATTTAAGAAATATTTTAGTGAAATATTTAATATTTCTGATGTAATTTCTACTGTATTTGCTGTAACAATAATGACAATAATGCTTAAAAATTATCAATTTTCTGATGGTTTTGAAAGTGTTAAAGAAATTAACAATGGATTAATTATTGCGATTTCATTCTCAATTTTCTTGGTTTGGATTGAATTGGTAATCTTTGATTTGTATTTGATTATTTAAGCTTTTATATGATTAATTAACTAATTTTAGCAATCTTAGATCCTCTACCTTCGTCTAATATCAGGTAATAATACAAAATTTATATAAAATTATTATTCATATAACTAACATATTCTATTTCGTTTGATACTAGTAATTGGAATTTATATTTACCACTTCATAATTGTCTTTAAAAAAATACTTCCATTTTTTATATTTATGATGATTGTGGTATTTGCATTTGCACACACAATGTATGGAAACATTTTTCTTCCCAATTTATTCAAATTTCAATATTATTAATTTTTCTTACTTTTTTAATTTATGTAGGGTTGTGTTGCTCAAGGATCCTGCAAATATTAGGATGAAAGATTCTACATATAGTGGAGTTGCTACAAATTCTTTAACAAATGAGACATTTAATATTAAACTTAAGTCCGATTTTGATCCCAAATCTGACGATAATCCATTTACATCCTTTTCTAAAGCAATAATGGCTGCATATTTTTGGACTAGTAATATTTGGGTTCAAATAGATAGATTTGATTTTTGGGCTGTTGATTCATATACTTTTATTGCTAGTATATTCCTGGTATTCGTTTTACAAAACATGTTAATAGCTTTTATGAGGTAAGCTTTTTGTAAATATGAATTACTTAATATTTCCACTTATTTAATTGCTTTGTCTTTTTTAGTGGCGTATATGAAAGTGTAACAGCTACAAGTAGGCTAATTTTGTTAAGACATCAAGCAAATTTCATAGCAGATTATGAAGCATTGCATCATATTCATCTTTGGAGTCCCGAACCTGAACCAAAACATATTTATTATTATTGTCAAACTAAAACTATTGAAGAATGGTATAATGTAAGAAAAGATGGACCCGGTCTTATTTATAAAGATATTGAAGAAAAATTCATTGATAAACATGTTTTTAAAGAAAAAGATTATGATAAATTTTCTATTTTGGAATGTAATGATGATAATAATATTAAAAAGAGAATTGAAAATTTTAAAAATATAGGTAATGAAATGAATAATAATATTGAATATTTGATTAAAAGATTTAAAAGTAAAAATTTAATTGAAGAAATTGAAGAAATTGAAGAAATTAATGATATGAAAATTGATTTAAAAGCTAATGTTGAAAAATTGTATCATAAATTAGAGAAAATGGAGAAATATGAGATTTTGTAAATTTTATTTTAATTTATTTAACAATTTTGTGATTTTCTTTTATATATATATATATACACATAATATATTAATTTCTTTCAAATAAATATGTCAGCTTATATATATATATTTCTTTTTTACAAAAATGGAAAGTGATTCCATCTTTATTTTAAATTTTTTTTAATAAAAACTGTTTTTTATTACGAAAAGAGAAAAGAATAAATTAAAAATGGTGTTCATTCTATGGACAATAAAAATAAGAAAGTAGCTTGAAAGAAGATGAAAAGAACGATTCATTTAAATGGTCTTTTGATATATCAAATATGTCATACTAAGAATACTAAGAAGAATGATAGTGGATATTTTATTTACAGCATGTCACAATATCTCACGTAAACATTGAAGAAGACATGAAATAAGCAAAAGAGAAGAAAATAAAAAGTACGAAAGAAAGATATCTTAGTAAAATAAGATTTGCCATTCGTTTGATCATAAATCTGATGAAGCTATAATTAATACACGATCAGAGATTAAAAAAGGAATCGCTATTTATCTTTTGATCTAAAAAAAATGAAAAGGAGAGAAGAAAAATTACGCTCTTAGCAATGAGATCAATTAAGAGGTGAGATTTTTTTATTATTTGATAGTATCTTTTATTTATACATTCATTTTTTTAGTGGTGTGCATGGAAATATAGAAACTAAATATAGACAAACTTTATTACGACATCGAGTAATCACATAGCTGATTATGAAGCATTGTATTATATTCATTTTTGGAATCCTGAGCCTGAACAAAAATATCTTATTATTTTTGACAATCAAAATCTTTAGAAGAATGGTATGATATCGTACAAGATAGGGTGATCAAGGTGCTATATATAAAGATTTTGAAGAAAAAAAGACATTTACAAAACGTATTTTAAGGAAGAGATTTCGATAAAAGTTCAAGTTGTGATTATGATGTTGTTAATGTCAATATGGAATTTAAAAAAAATCAAAAATATAAAAAGTGATTTGAATTTTAGTATTCAATACTTGACTAAAAAACTTCTTAAGTAATCTTACCCGCGTATTATACTATGAGCGATCAAGAATCTATATAACTATGTCTAACGTTTAGATTACTCTCCCATATAAATAAATTGAATTGTATGCATGATATAATGTGTAAGTTCCAATGGCAATCGAATGAAATTTGTGTGGCTAATCCAAATTAAATTTTGATCATTGTTTACGGGGACATCTATTATTAGTGTAACACCTATGCCCGTGATAAGTCACGTTGCCACCATAGGTATTGACAAAATAATACCCTAATAATAATATAAATAAATACAATATTATGCTTGGTTTAATAATATTATATAATGGTTAAATATTTATCCTAAAATTCCAAAATTATTTTCCAAAAATTCGTAACTTGATTTTTAAGTCATGATCTTTCCCTTTTTATGTATATTTTTGTATCACCTTAACCTGTTGGATTATCCTTTACTGCATTAGACATTTTCTCAAAAATATTCAAGTGGTAAAAAATGTTGCTCAAAAATAAATATTTTCCCAACAACAAAAATGTTGTTCCAAACAATGTCCATCTTTGGGTTTTACAAATTTCATTTTCCTTAACGTCCTGATCTATAAATTAATCACCTGATGTTCTAGTCATCTGACTTAATATTCATTAGTTTAACGTCATTGCGGACCAATATCCTATTTGTTGGTAGTTTAATGTCATTCCGGACCAATTAAAATACAATTTTAAACTAAAAATTTATATACTAATATTAAATATAATACTGCGCACCGCAATTAATAAATTTACTAGGTAAGTTACGGCATTACATTAGCAATTCTGATCCGCATTATTTACGATACTTCCATATTGGGAATTCGATATTAATGCACTTAAATCCTGAATTCTTTACCGTATTTTGCGGGCCACAGTGCACAGTACTACAAAAAAGAACTCCCATTTTTTACCGATTTTATTATTTAAAATAATTTAATAAATACCTAGGTATTACTCATGATAAATACCCAATTATTATATAAGTTTTATACATATCTACTAATAATAAAAACTCACGCAATGGTGGGAATCTGTATCATACCCGGGGTACTGTGGCCCCCGTTATACGGTATTTATAGTAATGTATATTTTATAAACATTGTACATAAAAAAAAACAAATTTGTATTTTATGTTATATGGATTTTATTTCTGGCTCGTTCGAATCAGCTGCTATCACCGCAAGTATCCAAACTTTAAAAAATTTCAAATTTTTTTTTCCGAAATTTTTTTATATTTTTAATTTTTCTTTTTGATTTGGTTTTTTTAACCAGAATTTTTTTTCATTTGGTATTGCTAAACATCACCGGTGGTGAAATTATGATGTAATGCCGGCCAGTATTTTATTAGATTTTTAATTCTGGTCGAAAGTACATCATAATGCTAGTACGGTGATCATCACCTCCGGTGAACTTTAGCAATTTTCATTTTTTTTTTGCCTTTTAGGTTTGGATCGCAATATAAACGAAATAAATAATTTTTTTAGTTAGAATAAATATGATTTTTGAAAAATATCCAGCCAAAAAAATAAATTAATTAATAATTTTTAAATTATATAACTTTTTTTAAATAATTATTTGTCCTCGCCACATACAACAATTCCTAGTTATAATATATAAAAACCAATACAGCGGGGCATATTTATGGAGTCCAATCAATTCTTCAAATTTTCAAACTACCCTAGTGTTACTCCAAAAAAAGCACAGCTGGCCTGGTTATGCAGAATTATGCACTGTTATCATGATACTCAACAAGAAGAGTGATAAATAAGGCGTGACAATAGAGACTGAACCGTTATCCGTTTGAATTTTCAGTAAAATTGTAATTTAAAATTACAAGTAAGTGTTTGAAGCAGAAAATTTTGAAATAAATATTCTTTCCGGAATTGATGTTTCAGTCATAAAATTTATTTCGATTTATATATAGCAATAGATTCGCTATACACAAATTACACTTTAGATATCCATTATCTGCTGGATATCCATCGGATATTAAATTCTAAATCAATTATAAGAATAAAATTTATTACTTTATCATTATAGATTATCATTGGCTTAATGACTACCTGCTAAACCATTTAAATCTATCTATAAATCTGAACGATCTTTCAAACAATGGATTCAACCTCTACGTGATAAATAAGATCCGTTCCTCCAATACTTAATGGAGTGTGATGCCGTGTGATGATTATTTTTATATGATCATGTGCTTGAGTTTTTTGGGTAATTGAGCAATATCTAAATAGTACAATGGGTGTGCTGTCAACTAATTAAATCAAAACTATGTATGATCAATTAATATGATAGAATTTTCTTTGTCTTTTATTAGAAAAATCCCCAAGTTTTAAAATTCGATAACTTTTGCATTTAATTAGGATTTAATAAATATTAAAAATATAAAGAATACTCAATAACTTGAATAACATAATATCTCGCTTTTTCGAAAAAATACTAAAGAAAAAATTTTATCTTATGGAAATGTATTCAAGAGTAAATACTTATTATTGTCGAAACTTAAATAATTTTTTATTGGAAAAAGCTTTCTATTACATGAAAGATGTACAGTAATTGTTTGGGATACTTTTGCTGAATTTTGAAAAAAAAAAAAATAGTGAAAAGAATTCGGAGTTATGAAAGTGGGGAATTGCATCAATTTAATAGGAAACTTCTTAGAAAAATTTATATAATAGCCAATATGACGAATTGACGATCACAAAAAAAAAAATATTCAATAGTAAATTTTACTATATAACCAGATATAGTTTTGTTAAACTATGCTGACAGTGCACCCCAATAGTATATTTGATTTTTTTTTTTAACTTTAATTTTTATCAGAATTATTTATTGTTTCAAATAAAAAAGATTTTACCTTTCATAACCTGATAAAACCTGCTGTAAAAAATTTAATAATGATACTTGGATTACCAAATTCGGTGATAACCATATAATTTTATTAATTAATAGCCTACACCATTTTAAATTACATTGCTTTTCTTAACGCTAATACAAGTATTTAGGCTTTGTTAATAACTTTCCAACGGCTAAGAATAATTCCTGCCTCGTTTGGAAGACAAATCATTTGCCAATTTCTCAAGCCTTTGAATCTCCAATTCAGCGTTCTTTCGTAGATTAATATTTTGTATCATTCTCGAATCCTGTTTCATACTCTCAATATGTGTATGAAGTTCATCAACAAAATTGAATCGAGAACAAATTTTACTTAAATCATGGCAAAGTTTGTGAATATGTCCGTATTTAGCGTTAGCAGCCGTTTGGAGAGTTGATAAGGATGATTGGTAACTGGTTACATCATTGCTGTATTTTTGATGTTGTTGATTGGCATCGTCATATTGTGCTTTAATATCTTCAAGAACCTTGTTGATCGTTTGGGTTTGTTCAACTAATTTGACCTTATCGTGAACATGGCTATATAAAATCATATATAGAGACTAACTAAGAATTGCTAAATATTAAAAATTATAAAATAGTAGAGTTTGAAGATTACCTTGAAGGCCCACATCCACATTGATTACATATACCATCCGATCCCATACAAAAACAACCACTAAAGTAGCTAGTTCCAGAACTAGTATTATTAAACTCAAGCCCACAATTATCATGACAAACAATGCTATCCTTCAGATGAAAGATACAAAGGGTACTATGGTAACTAGCATTAACGATTTTCTTAAGTTTAATTGTTTCAGTCTTTGTATAGTTGGCGAAATTATTCTTTTGGTTTCCCGTTTTTTGGAGAGCTTTCTGGGCTGCATCAATAGAGTCCTGAACTCGCTGAATATTTGCAATGTCCCGAGTCACTTTAGTGATTTCAGATTTGATTTTGTCTCCGTAATTCTTAAAGGCTTGAGTTGAAATAGAAGACAGCTCAGTGATTGACATCAATAAATTATCAATCGTTCTAGCAGACTTATCCCAATTAAATTGAACATTAGGACGTTCATCTTCATCATTTTTCCAGATTTGAGGATTAGTACAGAAAGCTTGGTTGTCCATGTAAAAAATTTTCTAAGGATAAAAAAAGCAATAAATGTGGTTATATATCTAAATGCATAATTAATTAAAAAAGTAATGAATGACATGCTAACCTTTGGTTTTGCGATTTCTTTCGTGAAAGCATCTTCTGAGAAAGAAGCGCTACTTTTTGTACATTTTGTTAAAATAAGCAATAGATTTCGATCGATCAGGTCATCAGAGAGGTTATTTGCCAATATAACTAAAGTGCTCTTGATCGATGGTGTCACTCTAGCTTCAGTTCCATTTGCGATGATCACGATAGCAGATAATGAACCGGCAGAAATTGCAGTATCAATAATCTCTTGAATGTTCTTGTCGTCTTGCTTTACACCATTTGTATCGCTCAGTCCAGGAGTGTCAATGAGGATGAATTCGTGGGCAGGATTATCGGAGTGTTTAAAAGTATAATTATAGCACTTTGTGGTTTGACTCTTGGTTACATCGTCAAATTTTGCTTCTGAATGTTTACTAGCGAACTCTGAAATCGTAATTATATAAAAATGCAAATTAATGGCATTCGAATTAGATCTAGGATCAATTCCTATAACCAATATTTTGATGATATCTACCTTTTTCAGTAACTTCATAATACTTAGTGGGAATGACAATTTTAGGATTATCAAGAGTACCGCCTAAAAAGTAATTTGCCATCGTATTAATGATGGTAGATTTTCCGGTCCCGGTTCCACCTAATAAAAGAACTTTGAAAACTCCTTGACCAGATAGGTTGATCCTATTTCGCGTAGTACCGGGAGTATTATTACGTCTGAAGTGATCAGATTGGTTATAATTGTTATAATCGGGTTGGCCATAATTATTATTACGCTTGAAGTGATCAGATTGGTTAAAATTATTATAATCGGGTTGGCCATAATTATTATTACGCATGAAATGATCAGATCGGTCATAATTATTATTACGCGTGGGATCAGGTTGGTTATTATTTTGCTGGTTTTGTAATGCTTCCAAGACCTGCGCTAGCATTCCTTGCAGGTTGGATTGGTCAGGAGAAGTCTGTTGTTTTTGGTTCCATGGCATTTGCTGAGATCTCTGAGAAGAATCGTTATTATTATGCCAAGGATTGTTATCGTTATATACAGACGTTTGAAGAGTACTATAAGGAGGTGGTGTATCATCTTCATCAAAATAATTTCCTATGTTAACATTCTCTTTTTGGCTTTTAGTTTTATTTGAATATGTTTCCTCTTCATAATCTCGATGTTTAAACGTCATTTTACTCATACGAGGGACAATATCTAAAAATTTAAATTTCATAATTTGAATTAAAGAACATATTAAAAATTCATACTACAATTACCATACTTGCCTTCATAACCATTTTCAAAGGCGTCCTTTTTTTTATCATACATTTGTTGTAAACTCAAAGCAATAGCATCGTTGTTTCCATAGGCACCCATTTCTTCTTCAATATTAATAGCTACAATATCAGGATCATGTTTTAAAAAATTTTAATTTTCGTTTTACTCGTAGCATAATTTATTTTTTCAAGAAAAAAAAAAATATTTCATATACATATAACAATATAATATAATAGAAAGTGGTTGCAAATATGAATATTCAATTTACCATTATTATTATTTGTACGGTATTCATCATCAAATTGTTTTTGCAATTGCATAGCAAGAGCATAATCATCGTCGACATTTCTACCGTTGTTTTGCATGGTATTAGTCTTGATTGTAGTTGAATTAAAACAAAAAATATTTGTTTATCCAAACATTTTAATTTTCGTGGTTTCTTAAATAAATGAACAATTGTCATAGATTGATTTTTTTGTTTAAAATTGGGGATGATATTCTTTGGGGCGATTTCATACTTCAATAAGAAAAAAAAGAATCAAAATAACGGTTTCTATTTTTCGTTATTGATAGTGCCGAAATGATGATCATATCCTGGAATGTATTAATCATATCTTGAAGCATTTTTATGGATTAGATTTGCATTTAATCTAACCATAAATTCTTTTTGATTTTTTTTTTGGTAAAATGAAATACTTTCTAACCCATAAATCCAAATTTGGGATGAAAAAGTTTTTCTGATATGATAATTTTATATATATGTTAGTGTGACAAAGCTAACGTTTTTAAATTTTAATAAATTTATGAGTTGAACCTTAAAAAAAAAAAAAAGTAACAAAGCTAGCGTTTGCAAGCGCCAAAGTTTAAAAGGTTTTTTTTTCAGTCGTCTTTTAGCTTCTTTTTCATGGAAGGTTTTGGAACATTACGTACTGTGCATGTCATTCCATATAATTCCGAATCTGACCCAATTTCCTTTTAAGATGATTTGGGCTGTACAGATAGTTCTTATTTGAGATGGTCTATGTGTATCATGAGTTAGGGTGAACAAACAGTATTAATTAAATTAGATTAGTATGACATGGTAATTTTCCTTTATCATTGAGCTCAACCACTACACCTAGCAAACAAGACCAAAAACCTATACCGGAACATGTTTATTACGCTTCTACAAAAGTCTTGGTATTCACATTGTACATCTAGATAATACCTTATAAGGTTAAGACCAGAAGCATTTACAGATTCGTACGATCCACAACATTAGCCCTGTTCATTTCCGGTCGGTTGCATTTTTCGGTCAGATTTTGTTGTACAAAAATTATCCAATAAATTTTTTTTATTTTCGATCGCAAATTGAACTGCTTTAGATTGAAATTTAGTTCGAACTCCTTCTATTGATATATATTTTTTTTTTAAATGTCACCTAAACAGAAATTATCTAATTTTGGTTGGTCATTTTTGGCGTTCGACCAAAAAACCCAAAAAAAAATTGGGCTAAAAGTTCAGAAAATGCAGATTCTAATAGAGACCCAAGTAATAAATGGAAACCTCATATATCTATTCAAAAAATCATTACATTTCAACTTGAAAGATTAATCTCAAAATGAATTGATAAATTAGTTACAAGTTAATTAAGTTAATTTCTTTATAGGATCTCGTCCCCTAAAAATTTCATGAAATTTGCGCTCAAAAATTGTGTATTTGCAATCATAATTTCATGTAGTTTAGGATGAAACCGATGTAGTGGCGCAGCTACACGTAAATATTTTTTTCCCTTTTTAATTAAAAGACCGTAAGTACAGGCACGAGAGTTCAACAAGATGTTCTAAGCTCAAGAATTATCATAGCAGTTACAAAAATTTAACACGTTAGCTAATTTATTGACATAATGATAATTATACGGTAAATTTTACTTTTTTAAGAAATGAATTTTTTTTCATCTATCACAAGGTATGCATCTTGAATCAACTTAATGTTTAATCTTATAATATTTGAGAAAATAAAAAATTATATATCTAAAAATTATTTGTTCTTAAAGATTAAAGATTGATCAGGTCAAAAGAACCGATTTCACCAATTACTTGAACATTCACATAGATAATCTATTAAGAAAGTTGAATTTAATGACATCCCGGATTAATACTTTATAAATTATGAGCGATTCATTGGACATTAAATTATACTTTTTTAAAATATCTATAAAAAAAAAGATTGCTATTAATTAGTATATAATAGTGTGATTGATGATGTACTTTGGACTAACGTTTAAATGCATTTAAAATTCTCGAGAGAGAATTATTGAAATAATGAGCGATGATTCTATTATAATATTTCATCGTTTAATAAAGCTCTTAATGAATTCTGGATAATTTAACTCCTAAGTAAAACATAGCTTCACATTTAATTTTGCCAATAATTTAAGAAAAATCCACGCGAGCTTTTATTGATTAAAAGTTTTTTTTTTATAGCCATTATTTAAAAAGAAAAAAAAAACTGTCCGAGGTTTAATTAATTTAATTAATTTATTAAAGAGTTTATTGAAGTTCAAAAGCCGACTAATGAGAATTTCCTTGATACCTGCTAAATTTTTAAAGTTCAAAGCTGATATTTGCATTTGAGGGATCACTATCTTAATTATGAATATTTTATTATATCTGAATTTTCTTAAATATCTGAAACTCCAATCCAATAAAAAATAAGTTAGCACTTAAAGAGTTTTTCTAATGAACAATGAACAAAAATATTACACCTTGCATTATTTCACTTGCATCTCAAAAGGTCCGTATTCGAAATGTTTATCATGTATAGCAATAAAGTATTTTTGAGACAAATATTTGTTAACTAATGTTCGTAAAATTTTGTTTAATTAGAGTTTCGCACAGGTCGAATTTAGTTAAGATTTAATGAACCGAAACGGATTATTATTAAAATAGAAAAAAATTTAAATAATGGAATTTCATAAATGATTTATTATGCGTGAATTACCTTTGAGGGGCAAATTTTTTAGATTTTTTGAAGTGGTGAAAAGATATTAAAGATATTCGTCACCTTAAATAATTAGAATTTAATCTTTTCGTCCAAATGTGTTATTTTAAATTTTGACTTTAAAGTTTCAATGATTTAATATTAGAACAAAGTTGAAACCGTCTTTTGCAAGAAAAGTATTACAAGATTTTAGAAGAAAAACAAAAGAAGGAAATATTTCTAACAATAATGGTGTTGAGTTAGTTTGGTAAAATATAAAACTTAGTGGATATCCGTCTGTGAATATTTTTTACCCATTCACCTGATCGGCAAAGGAACTTATGCATTTGCCGATCAGGTGAGGACACTGTGAGGACTATTCAATTGCTTTATCCGCAATATCTTGATAGCACAGATTATCATCCACTTACTAATTTAGTTAAATTTCACAATTACGCCAAGTATGTAGTGTAACTTGTGTAAGTATTTAAATGAAAATGCTCGCCGATCTTTCTTAGAGGGAAACAAAAAAAAATGTCAATTCATAAAACCAATCCAACGTTTAATGATTTGTTAGAAAGAATAACCACCGAAGAACATATCATACATTATGAAATTTCAGAATTCAAAAATTTACAACCAATAGGAAGTGGTTCATTTGGAAGTGTCTTTCGTGCTAATTGGAAAAATACTGATAAATATTTCGCTCTAAAAAGGTTTAATAACGATAAAACGACGCTAAAAGAGGTTGTCAACGAGGTATCAAGATTCACCATTATAATAATAATGTATATAATTTTTTTTATATAATAACTAATTTATAGTTGTTTAAAGATAAAATTACATAAGAGAGTTGATTTTCATGAAAATATTTTGCAGCTCTATGGAATCACAAAAATAGAAGAAACTGGTAGGTTTATCATGTACCATACAATATTATTAAATGAGTTATTTTTAATAGATGTAATTTTTTTTTATGTGTAGTTCAACAAACATACACACTGGTTTTGGAATACGCTGACAGTGGTACATTAACAACTTATTTAAATGAGCATTTTAACGAGCTTAAATGGAATGATAAATATCAGTTAGCATTGCAACTAGCCAGTGCGATAGCGTATATGCATGAATGTGATATTATTCATTGCGATCTGGTAATAATTCATAACTTTGATTTATTGATTTTTATACCAAATAAACTAATCAATATTAATGCAATTATAACAGCATTCAGGTAATATACTTATGCATCGGAAAAAGATAAAAGTAGCAGATTTTGGTTTATCAAGAAAAATTTCTTCGTCAAGTAATCCGTCAAAACTATTTGGTGCAATACCTTATATGGATCCAAAAGCTTTAAATAAAGATCTAAATTATAAATTAAATAAAAAATCTGATGTATATAGCGTTGGAATTTTAATGTGGCAAATTTCAAGTGGATATTTACCGTTTTCTACAAAGTCCGCTAATTATGATGAACGTTTTATCTTCATATCTATAATAAATGGTAAACGAGAAGAAATTATTGTTGGTACTCCCGTTAATTATAGTAATTTATATACAGGTAAATAATAACTAATGATTTTTTTTATGGAATTTACATTTATAATTAACAGTAATTCATATTATTTAGAATGTTGGAGATATGAACCAAATGAACGTCCAAATATGCAAGATGTTGTTTCAGAACTTAAAACAATAATTTCTTCTGAAAAACATGATATAGTTATTGATTTTATTAATGAAACGGAGAATAATTCATTTAATTCATTTGAAATACATAAAATAGCTTCTAGATCAAACAAAGGAACTTTAGACTTAAATGATGAATTAATGTTATCAAATAATAGATTGAATATTAATAATATTGATAGTAAAAATAGCTATATACGGTATGATTGGATTTTGGATTTATTTAAAATTTTATGGATAATATTTTTAACAAAATCATACAAAATCAAACAAAATGAGAGAAATAAGTTGGGCCCTTTTTCATTTCTTCGATTTCTTATTTTTGCCATTTGCTTTGTATTAATTAGCTGGGCATATTTGAATCATAGTACTATTATAAATGAAAAATTTTTAATGGCATTAATTATTATATTCTATTATTTGGCATATTACCAACTTGTAACTGAATTGTTACAGTTTAATTATCTTGGACTTAAAAAATATTTTGGTAAAATATTTAACAGTTTTGACATGATTTCCATTGTACTATCGGTAGCGGTAATGACAAAATTGCTTAAAAATTTTCAAATTTCTGATGGTTTTGAAAGTGTTATAGAATCTGATACTGCGGGAATATCATTCTCTATTTTCCTGCTTTGGATCAAACTGGTAGGTTATTTATTGATCATCATCTATATATAAAAATATATTTACCAGATTTTATTATTTTAGATTTTATACCTTCGAAAAATATCAAGTAAAAAAAATTATTCGATTTAAATTAAATAATTTTTACATATAATTTTTATTAATTAACTTATTTTATTTCACTTGATAGATATTGGCATCTATATCTATCGCGTCACAATTATTTTCAAGAAAATATTTCCGTTCTTCTTATTTATGTTAATTGTTATACTTGCATCCGCACATACAATGTAATACAAAAACTTTATTAATTTATTCATTTAGTTTATAAAATTAATTCAACTTTTATTTTTCATATGTAGGTTTATTTTACTTAGAGATACTAAGAATATTAAAATAAAAGAAACGACATACACCGGTAGTGCCGCAGATGTTGTTACAGATACAACGTTCAATTTCGAACTTGAAACCCTACGTCTAAAGGAGATAGTTTCCATTCTTTCCGAGAACATTAGCATTTCCAAAAGCAATACAAAGCTGATAGATACAACATTTGATATCGAACTTGAAATCCTACGTCTAGAGATAGGGATGGTTAGGTCGGTCCTGGTCCGGTCTTGGTCCTAGGACCTTCAAGTCCTATTGAACGGACCCGCGGACAGGTCCTAGCATAAAGAGTCCTAGGACTTAAGTCCTATCAGGTCCGGTCCAGGACCAGGTCTCTGGACCTGGTCCTGAACTTTAAGTTCTTATGATAATTATTTAATTTATTATAGATATACATAATAATTTAAATTTTATTCGGGATAAATCAATGATAATCTTTTATTATATGTAGTAAAAAAATGTAATTCAATATAATATTTTAATTTTTTACAATTTATTGTGGTTTATTTATACTAAACCTTATTTAGTTTAGATCGTTAAACACTAATAAATGACATAATATAAATTCTAATTAAGCCACATTTTTTTCTCCAACGCAATTATCTATCCAACTCTTCGCACACAAGGACGCTCTTGCAGTTTCCAGTTGCAGTCGATTTTGGGTTTTTGTAATTGTATTACCAGCAATGGAAAATGCTAATTGTGTAAAATAAGTACGAAATGTGTAAAAAATAAGACGTTAAATAATTATTTTAACCACCAAACCACCTACCCTGTTCACATGCAACGCTTGTGGATTGTATGGCTAAATAATACCTTGCCATTAATGACAATACCGGAAATTCAGTGAAATGAGCTTGCCACCAAAGAATTACTTCTACATTCTCATCACAAGGCAACGCTAGGTAGCGTTCTATTTCTGCAAAATCAGGATTATGTGAAGGTAATGAGGGTGAAGCTTGCGGTGTTTCGCCAATTTCTCCTAAACGTTGTTTCTTTAGTTGGCGAAAATATTCCCTTCCTGATGCATTATTTTCTTTAGGAATTTTAGGAATAGAAGTTAGTAGTCGTGGGTTTAGCTATAATAAAGTGCAAATTGTTCTTTTAAGGTAACAATTGCTTTTGTTGTTGGTTCGCCTGATTCAAAGACAGTAATTTTATTTCGTGGGTCTAAAATTGTTGCAATTGTAGTAGCATCATCAAGAATCGTCCAGTATTCCATGATCTTTTGATTTATTGAATCGGCTAACATGTACTGATCATTTTTTTCCATACAGTACTTTAAGTGATCCCGAATTTCATTAAAATAGAATCGCACGTCGGCTATGGTTGGATATTTTGAACCCGAAAGATTTTTTGTTGCTCTTTCAAGTGGTTCTAAAATGATTATTGTTTCCTATAGTTATTTTAAGTAAATTGAGTATTTTATTATTATTTTGATTGTTTATTATTATTCTTAAGTATTTTACGATTAAAGTGATTTCTAATTTTGTGAAAAAATAAATAAAAATATATCTTTATACCTTTATTTTTTTCCATGCTGAAGTGTTTGGCATTAAATCTCGTACATTTTCATGTTTGATTGCAAGCATTTTTAACGCCATTTCCATTCGTTGAAGTTTGCAAAGCATGTAATAAGTGGAATTCCACCTGGTTTCTACATCAACTTCAGGTCGAAGATATTCCATTTTTTCCATAGAACATGACTCACGTAAATCATCACATAACAAAACTGAATTTTTAATTTTTACCATCAACTTACGCACACGTAAAATTTCTTCATCAACTATTTCCAATCCTTGTTTAGCTGCAAGGTTAAGAATATGTGCTGAGCAGCGGTAATGACTAAAAGAAGTATTATAATCTAAAGCTCTTTCAAATTCTTCTGATAACCTTCTTCCACATACTATCATAGCAGATTCATTATCAATAGTGAGTGCTAGTGCTTTACTCACTAAATTGAATTCACTAAGAACACTATTAATCGCAGACGCCATATTAATTCCTGTATGATAAGTTTTGAACGGAATTATGTCAAGTAAAAAATGCCGGAGAGTCCAGTTTTCGTCAATATAGTGAATGGTTAATCCAAGATATGCTTCACTACTTAATGTTGAGGCCCACAAGTCAGCAGTGAATGAGACTTTTCCGGGTATTTTTTTTATATCATAATGGATATTTAGACGACGTTTATTAAATTCTTGGATAGTCATCTCTTTAATTTGGTGGCAGTCAGGAATTTTATAGCAAGGATCAAAAACATTCATCATATTAACGAATTTTTCATTCTCAACAACTCTAAAAGGTTGCTGGTCAGCAATTATCCAAGTAATAACAGCATCATCTCGCTCTTCTTTCTCTTTTGCAGGCCATGGGTCTTTACATTTAAACTTTAAGGTTGTTTGTTTTCGAACTTTTTGAATTACTATACAATGTTTACTTGTAAGATGCCATCCAATACTAGAATTTCCTGACTTAGTAGAAAATACATAACCACAAGTTTTACATACAGGTACTCCAGGATGAGAGGGATTTTACAAGTTACATAAGACTATATTGAAGCAGTTTTACGTGAAGGTTCCTCTATTTCATCAACTACTATGTCATCAATATCTGGAATAAACGCGTCATTTGGATTGTTAAAGACACTGCTCATTATTACATGTACACGTTAAAAAATTAAAAATGTGAAAAGATTAGAATTACGAAAATCGGAAAATCTGATCATTATATCATTATATAATATTATTAGCTATTTTATTGGTTAGGACTTTTTAGGACCAGATCTTCACCAGTCCTAAATCAGGACCTAAAGATCCAACATCAATAGAAGCTGGATATTTAAGGATAGGTACAGTGCATGCAACTTAGTCACAACAAAAAAATTTTAAGTGGCCAAATTTAAAATGTCAATTTATATCACATGATACATTAAACTTGCAATTTTATTGGTTAGATTTATATAATTAAAATTATAATTCTTAATTCTGGCCAGATTTATATATAATTTTAGCCAGATTTATATAGCTAAAGTAATTTTAGCCAGATTTACACATAATTTTGGTCAGAGTAAAGTGGCCAAAATATAGTAAAATATTTTAACTTTGAATTGCTACTATATTAAAAAACATTTTATAGAAAATTTAAAACTATAGCTTTGTTAAGTTTGTTTTGTTTTATTATTGTATAATTAATACTTTACATTTATTATTTTTTTTTTTGAGGGAGTAGTAGTAATTTGAATTTTATCAATTTGGTTGTTGTGACTAAGTTGTATGCACTGTAGTAATTTGAATCAAAGAGATGAATTTGATTTTGGGCTGTAGATTTAGTTACTTTGATCGCTAGTGTTTTATTTGTAACAATTTTACAGAATATGTTGATGGCTTTTATGGGTAAGTTTTTTTTATCAATTATTTATATATATTTTATTTGTTGTTGTAGAGTCAAATATTAAACAATACAAACTAAAGGTAGTGTTAGGTCAGTTCTTTAACACTTAAAAATATTAAGCAGATTATTTAATTATGTAAGCAGAAGGTTTATATATAATAATAAACAGTATATAATATATGGTACAGTATATCGAAAAATATCCAATCAGACGTGTAGTATAGTCCTTTATGTCAGCATATATACATTCAATCACGAATAAAGGATTTCACACAAATAAAACTTATCAATAAACAATAATGAGATAACCTTTTATTATTTTAAATAAAACTTTATTATCTTTTCGTTATCTGTTGTTATCTGAAAGAAATATCACTACAAAAAAATTGACCTGTATTTATAATAAAATTGTACATATAATATATATCTAAATAATTAATAAATTTAACATATTTAACATATTTAACAAATTTCACATATTTAATGAATTTAATATATCTAATCTATCTAAATCTAATATATTTTATATATTTAATATGTTCGATATGTCAATCACTCGATCATATTAAACATATCAACCTTTTCGTAATTCCGAACAGCACATGATAATCACATGACAGTAGCGTTACATCATCAAAATTCGAACTGATAAAACATTAAGAACCTAAAAGAAGATCCCGGTGCTATTTTATAAAGGATTTGTAGAAAAATCTACATTTACAAAACATGTCTTTAATTGACGAAGCTTCAATTTTTGTGTATAAAATGATGATTAATTACAAATTGCTATGTAATAATTATTGTTTAAATAAATTAATGAATATATCTTAAAGACTTGACTTACATTATAATAAAATACTGTATATTTATTTATATTATTTATATTTGAATTATATAGTTCATTTTGAAAAACGTGGATTATGAATTATCCCTTAAATGATTACAATTTCAAAATTGGTTAATTCATATATACGCAAAATTTCACTAATTATTAATTGGTTTTTTTTATTACTGACTTGGAAGTAAATGTTTGTCGACACAAAAAAAATTGCAGGCAATTTCCCTGAAATTTTCAATATTATTTATACCATATATATGTATGTACTGTACATTATATTAAATGATTGTGAATTTTTTTTCATTTTTATATAAGAATTAATACAAATTTATTATAAATGTATTATTTTTTTTTAGTAGGATTTTTGATATTAATAGTTGTTTTATGTTTATACTTTATACAATACTTTGATATCAATAAACTATGTCGTACTCCTTATGCATAATTTTGATATTTGTGTAAGGTGTAATTTGACCTACTTCACAACTATAGTAATTTAGATGGTTGTTGTTGGTAAAAATTTGCAATTTATTTTTACAAAATTATAAAATTCAATAAAATATAATAAATAGATAAATATTAATCGTAAAAAGATAAAATTTAGTTTGATTTGTCTTATTGTAATGCACAAAATATTAGTAATTACGTTTATAGTGTTAATAAATAGTGTAAGAATATGTTATTAACTTTTATAAAAATTTAAGTCATAATAATTCACTGCTAAGACTATAAATGGCCACAATTTAGTACAACATGTTGAGGTATCCCTCTATGACTACTAGTATCTAATAATTTACTTATTTTTAAATTATTTTATCTGAAAATTGGTACCATTTTACTAATTTATACCCAGTTTCCGATTGGCTTTCCTTATTCTGCTTTCTTATTGGCTTATTCTGCACACGTGATTTTACAACCAATAGAAAATGGTTCATTTGGAAGCGTCTTTCATGCTAATTGGAAAAGTACTGATAATACTGAACGATGATAAAAGAGGTTGTTAACGAGGTATAAAGATAAATATATATATATCTCTCAGTATACTATGAAATCTATCAAAAGAGTTACAAACTAATATATATACTGTATTCCGCTCTTGGCCTGTACGACAGATCTGACATTTTACAATGAGGAGGGTTCAGCCGATACATTTGTTTCTGCAACGGAGATGTAATCTTGCATAAGTTTGCATAATCTTACGTAATTTATGATTTATAATGTAAACTTACGCATGGTTACGGTATACCGGTTAAAGTAAAAAACAATAAAGCATAATACCGTAACAAATATATCATTAACCGAAATTTTATTTTTACTTAATATTTTATATTTTATTGAAAAATTTTTTCTAGCCTATTAAAGAAATATTATCGCTACTCAATATGATATAAACATTTTAGACGTAAAAAAGAAACTACTTTCACATGCTTTTCTTGATATGAATTCTAGAAAAATCATTAATAGCAGCATTTTAGTGTGCTACACTTGTTTTTTTAAAATCATTATTTTTCGTTATTTTTTAATAAATACTTTTAAAGACAATTGAAGGAAAATAAGGTTTAGTAATATAATTATATTGTTAAATGTGGTTAACACAATGAACTTTGTGTAACATTATCCATCCCATTTAGAAAAAAACACTTCTTTTTATCAAAAAAAAGAAAAAGTTTATTGTAACCAAGGTTTGATAATCCGAATTATTACTTACGGTCAACTAACCTTAGTAATGTATAGTCTTTTTTAACACGATGTGGTTATGTGTCGAACTTTAGAAAGAAAAAAAAATGACTAAGTCTTATATAAATAGCAACCAACAACTCCTTATATGGTTATGATAAATAAAATGATCAACGTGTAGTGTAACTTTATGATTTTACGTAGTATATAATAAACGAAAATACGAAATTATCCCACCATAAACTAATATAAAATACCCCAATATTTTTTGCTTAACTATAATTTTTGTTAAAACTAAAACTATCTAAAAAAAAACTATCGAATAAATTAATTACTAACATAATATATTTCTCTTCCTGGTTCTTTTGAAATTAATAAAAACCAACACTTTGATTATTATAAAATATTGAAAAAAATGGCGTTTTCTATCGGACAAATTATTTATTTTATTTTATCGGTACTTATATTTGCTATAAAAAGAAAAAAGACCTCAAGAAATATGTCAGATTTTGTAAACAATCCACAAGATTGGTTTGATAAATCGATTGTCGAAGAATATATCACACTTTATGAATTTTCAGACTTCAATAATTTACAACCAATAGGAAGAGGTTCATTTGGAAGTGTCTTTCGTGCTAATTGGAAAAATACTGATACAATTTTCGCTATAAAAAAGTTTAATAATAATAATTCGACGCCAAATCAGGTTGTCAACGAGGTATTAGAAATTACAATAATAATAATATAATATTTGTGTTGATACAGTATATGGGGACGCCCGTAGCAAAAAGGGGGGATAGGCCAAAAAATTCAAATTTGAGATTTTATTATAATTATATGTCTATTAGTCTAATTATTAAGAAAATATGGTTTTTTATTAATAATATATTAGTAAAAAAGTTTAATTTTGAAATTTTCTTATTATTTGCATTTTACTTTTATAGAATTAACAAGCAACATAAACTTATTAAAAGAAAATCAATACTCTTAGTAAATTGCCTGTAAAATTTAGTTTTAGATAAAAAAAAAAAGGTCTGAAAGTCAATTTATTTCACAATTAAGTGATGATCTGCCAAATTTATCATGTGATTTAAATTGCGATTTTTTTTAAAATTACGGAACTATCCCATTCCCCTTTTGCTACGGGCGTCCCCATATAATAATAATTGTTAATTAATATTTTAATTCTTTTAAAGGTAAAATTACAAAAAAGAGTCGATTTTCATGAAAACATTATACGATTCCATGGAATCATAATAGAGAAAGAAACTGTTAAGTCTTATCGTATGTCATAATTTATTATTAAATTATTCTTTTTTAATAGATAAATTTTTTTCTCTAACTAATGCGTATTCAGATCAGTCAGATGTAATTTACTCACTCATTTTAGAATATGCTGACAGTGGTACATTGTCAACTTATTTAAATGAGTATTTTAATGAGCTTGAATGGAATGATAAATATCGGTTATCGTTACAACTAACCAGCGCAGTAGCGTGTATACATGAATGTGGTATTATTCATTGCGATCTGGTAACAATTTTTAACCCTAATTTATTGTTTTTTGTACAATCTAATTAATACATACTAACGTAATTTTTATAATTATAGCATGCAGATAATATATTTATACATCAGAAAATGATAAAAGTAGCAGATTTTGGTTTATCAAGAAAAATTTCTTCGTCAAGTAACCCATCAAACCTATTTGGTGCAATACGTTATATGGATCCAAAAGCTTTAAATAAAGATATAAATTATAAATTAAATAAAAAATCTGATGTATATAGCGTTGGAATTTTAATGTGGCAAATTTCAAGTGGATATCCACCATTTTCTTCAAAATCTACAAAATGCATCAGTAACGACAAACGTTTGACCGTATCTATAGTGAATGGTAAAAGAGAAGAAATTATTGATGGTACTCCTGTCAAATATAGCAATTTATACACAGGTAAAGTGATTGTTTTTTAAGTAACTATACAAATACTAGTATAATAAATTTTAATAATTAACAGTAATTTACATTATTAGAATGTTGGAGATATGAATCAAATGAACGTCCAAATATGCAAGATGTTGTTTTAAAACTTAAAACAATGGTTTTTTCTGAACAACAGGATATAATTATTGATGCTACTAACAAAAAAGTAGATAATTTATTTGAAACATATGGATTAATTTTCGAATCAACCATAGATCTAAATAATAAATTAATGACATCAAATAGAAGATTAAATATTAGTAATATTTATATTAATAATATCTTAATTTTACGAAATTGGGTGATAAGAGTTCCTAGTAATAATTCAACAAGTTTAACTGCATCAGTAGATTTTTATGATTTGATATTTAATAAATTAATTCTCCTTATAAAATTAATAATAATTCCAATTAAAAAGTATTACCGAGGTTATACTTCTAATCAAATTCAACAACTAATTAATCAAAAAAAATTACAACTAAATCAATTAAATCAAGAAATAGATAATGCCATTATAAAAAAATTAATTGGTATTATAATATATTTTGTTTCTTGGATTATTTCTATTATTTCAATATTTGAGTAGGGCAGTAGGCAATTGTGACGATAATAATCATTCAATGGATACTTCTTATTTCATCACGCAGTAAAGGATAACTAGGTTGTCTATTCATTGGTTCTATTTAAATTGCATTGTGCTGCGTACATATGATTCTATGTAGTAACCTATTGGATAACCTAATTACCCATTATGTAGTTGGAATAATAGGTTTATCTCATTATATATCAACTAAACATCGGCGATGTATTAGTCTTTAGTTAGAGTGATATTTATTACATTTTTTTTTGTTAATTTCATTTTTTTTTATTAATTTTTTTTAAGCATTTGACAATAATTTCTAATTCAACAAAATTAATTCAAATTAGAGGAAAAGTGGTGGTTTAATTTTTTTGAGAAAATTTTTTGAAAGGTTTCACATGACTTTAATCAACACATTCACGTAATTTAATAAATTTAGTCTATTATCCAGATTTAAATTCTCAAATTTTGCGGATTCTTTTTTTTCTTATGTTCTATTAACAAGTTTCCATAAATTTTGCATTGCTGTAACAAATGGGAGAGAAGACCTTTTCTGATATTTATACTTATTTGTATACACCAGTAAAATTCTTTATTACTTGTCAGTTCTGCCTAAAGATAGTCATTGGTCCTAAAAGACCATGGTCTCGCAGTCCTACACCTTAAAAAGACAGACTGGTCCATCTTGGTGTAGGACCGCGGTCTTTCGGTCCTGTAACACGTACAATAAGACTGATGGTCTTTTAAGGACTGCAGTCTTTTTAAGACTGATCAGTCTTTTTTCTTTTTTCTGCAAATAAAAACTTTTTTCTATTACTTTACTAGGAACAGTCTTCCTTTATAAATGAACACTAATTGTATAAATTTATAGGAACCATTCCAGACGTATATTATAAGAAAATATCATGTATAAAGATGGATTTATTATACTTTATTAACGTTAATTTTCTTTTTTCCTTGGAGACAGTCTTTTCTAAAAATAAGGCGAATCAATATGCATGTAATAACTTATATACAGTATAAAAACCGATACAAAGACCAGGTCAGTCTCAGGACCGGCCCTACTGCGCCAAGAAAAATGAAAGACCGATGACCATCTTTAGTTCCGCCCAGTTGCTATTTTTAATGCAATAATTATTACATATACTGTATGAATAAAAAAATCACATAACATTAATCACGTGAAATGACACATCGAAAACTGCTAATTAACAATAGTAAAAAAATGTTATTTTGAAATTTTTTAATTAATTCGTAATTCGTCGATCATGTGTAGCACGTGCATATAAGCCACGTAATTGATTTTCGGGTTAATAACTTATAATTTTTTCATATTCTTCGTGAATCTCAAGAAACCCATAGTGATTCTGTGTTTGTTAAGGCTAGTTTCGTTATAGTTAACAATTTTACATATTAAATAATAATCATATAAATATACAAATAGTTATTGTTTAAAAAATTGTGTAAATATTATCGTACTTATGATAAAACGACGCGAACTAGCAGTTACGTTAGTTTCTTGTTGAATAATTGAACTCCTCTTACATTATGGACCTTTTTCACGAAACTGGTTGTTTATTCCAACAATAAAAAGTAGTAATGATATAGAAATGATGTATCCTATTCGGATTGGTATGAGAACACAAGTAGAAATAAATGGAAAAAAATTTACTATGCGTATTTTAGAAGGAAACAAATTTGATTTGAACCAACCTGGTTATACTTGTCAATGTGATTCTGATTCCAGTGAAATTGAAGATAATCCAACTAATGCAATTACTTCTTTATATAGACAAATTTTCAAAACTCAAACAAAAATTTTGGGTTCAATGGTTATGGGTTTTGATAAGGATTCAATATTTACCGAATTATTACAAGATATAGAATTCTGCCCTTATTCTATTAGTATAGCAGATAAACTGACTATTATTGTTTTCAGTTTAGGTGCTTCTAAAAAAGAAAGTTGGTTGGGTGCTGGAGAAGGATATATGGCTTCTTTTATTCATATTTTTAGAAAAGAACGTTGTATTTTTGTTCAAAAATTTATAAAAAACAAGTCCATAGTAGAAGTATGGAATAATAGCACTAAAATTTCACATTATGAAGGTAGTTCACCTGTAGAAGTTTGGCAAAAAATTGGAATTTTGGGAAAATTCCAAGGTACACAATTATTTGGGCTTGAGCATGCATATACGTGATCTGCGTTATGATGATTATATATTCCAAAGTGTCAACCATCTCAATTGAGTAATGAATAACTAATGAATAGTTTATACGAATATCACCTCAAAAGATGAACTATTGTTGGAATAAATTGGTTACATTTATTTAAACAGTGTGAGTCTGGTGGAAATATTATTGAAATAAATACAATCCTTACAAATTTATATCCAAAAAATTACCAATTTAGTGATTGTGAAATGCAAGCTTGGAGCTCTATGCTTAAAGCTGCTGGTTGTACAGATATAACACCTTTTAATAGTGAAGTATCTCCTGTAATTGTATTTTATAATTGATTTATCTCGTCTTACATTAGGAATTATCAAAATTCATATAAAAAACAGCATAAATTTTGGTCACGATCTTTAGATCCTACTGATGATAAAAATTCTTTGAAGAATCTCTTTCAACTAGGCTTTTTAAATCCATATCCATCAAGTATTCAAAATCCGTCACAAATATTTTGGGATTGTTTTGCTAAAAGTTTAACATAAAATCCAAAAGGTCCTGATGGGATATGACGAATTTTATCCATTATTGCACATCAATTTTCTTATCAGGAATTACAAAATAGACTTGGAGTAAATATAATATGAACTATATTCTTGTATATCTTCGTGAAATATTCTAAATAAATTTGATGATATTAATTTAGGTTTCACCTACAACTATTAATGCGGCAAGAAAATATGCTACACTCAATGGTTCAGGATGCTGACAAATAAAAAAACCTATAATTATACGTAGCCCACCTTTTACTAAAGAAATAGAAGACCAATTTGAAGCTTTTTTTTCAGACAAAGTAAATGTTAGTATGAGTTCGTATAAGGTTTATCCAAGAACTAATCTTCCGATTCTTTACCTGCTTGATCAAAAAGAATCATTATGGAAAAGATTTTCAGAAATTTATCCTAATGTTATGAAAAGAACGGTATTTATTTGACGGATTGAAGATGGTCCATATAGGTATCGTTAAGACTTGGGAGGGTTGTGTTCAATTTGTGCAGAATACGGATATGAAGTATTTGATGATTTAGCTAAAATTATAAGATTGCATGTTGAAAATCTTTCAGTTCAAGTATGTAATTTACATAATTTCCGTACTTTATTCATAAATTATTTTTTACATTTTTTTTTTTTTTTTTTTTTTTAAAAAAAAAAAAAATATAGAATAAATTATTACAAGATGTAGAACTAATTAAACGTCATATGAAAAGAGAATATGTACGTGAAATTAGCGTTGAAAGTAATGGTCATGCTGAACATGATGAATGTATTGATCACTGCTTACCTTATGCATTTGGTGAATGTAATAAGATGCATAGTATAAGGTGTTCGCATTGTCCAAAACTTTATTCATTTTTTGATAAATTGGAATCAATTCTCCCAGCTGAAGAAATACAACTTATAGATGATAAAAAAGAAAAATTACTTCATTATTTGGCACATCAAACGCGAAAAGTATATCTTAATGCACAGGTTCAAGCAAATTTATTAGAATTAGATAATGATGGGGCTATACTTATTGTTGACTATAAGATGCGTATCTTACCAAAATCAGCACGAGAATCCAAGTCTAAATTTTTTGGAAAAAAGGGTTGGACTTTACATTCTATATTGATGTATACCAAATCAGAAAATGAAAAACTAAATGTGGCCGCATTTGACCACTGGTCAGCAGATACAAGACAGGACGCATGGTTTACTGCTTCTTCACTTCACGCAGTATTTGAAGTTATGAACAATAAGCCAAAATGGGTTACATTAATCTCAGATAACGGACCTCATTACCACAACAGTGAAATGATGATTATAATGGCACATTGGAAGGATTGGTACGATATTGAAGTAAAGAGTTGGATTTTTTTGGAGGCTGGAGAGGCAAAAACGGCTATAGATTCTCACCACGCACAGGTCAGATCTAATAAATACATAACAATTATTATTTTTTTAGAGTACTAAAAATGGTTCACATAGATTGCGCATTCCATTAAAAGATATTTTAGAATTGTTTTTGAAATTAGAGAAGGCAGTGATATAGAAAATTCAATCAAAGATCTATGTGGTACATCAGTAGGGGAAATAAATCCTAATCGTGAAAAAACTGATAAAAAGATAAAATCATTGGTTGGGATATCTAATATGAATGAATGGAAATGGCCAATCAATGGGCCATTTGCAGGGTCTATACAAGCACGTACCTTGCCAAATATAGGTAGTTTTACCAATTATTCTCCTATACAAACACGAAATTCATCAAAAATTGAAATAACGAAACCAAATCCAATGATTTCTACACCTTCTGTGCCAAAATCTTTGTGGACTATACCAGTGCCGAATTCTGGTGATTTTTTTCTAATTTGTTACTCTATAAACCCAATAATTGCTAAATTATTCAATTTTTAGATATCTCTTCTAAGCTTCTATGAATAAATACACCTAATTAAAATTTAGTGCAAATTAACAATGGAATTGTAGATACAGAAAATAATTTCAAGTAAGAAAACCAACCCTATTTTATATTACTTGTTTTTAAACTGAGTTATAAAATAATTAGATTGACTTCTGCTTATATTATAGTGTTAATGCAGAATTTCAACTTGCATCTGGATGGGCGTTAAAAGCAAATCAAAAGTTTGGAAAAATATGTTGAGCAAGAATTTCAAAAAAGGTTATTGCATTATTGCAAGGTTTTTTTCATGCATGTAATGCTGATAAAAGTGATCGATACTCAGCTAATGATATGTTATCAGAACTTATCCATATGGTAAATATTTTAGAGTTGGATCCTGAAATAATACCAAAAATAGAAACAATTGAAAATTGGATTAGTAGATATTCTGCAGCTTGTAAACGTGAAATGGCGGCTATAGCTTTAGAGCGTCAAGTGCAAAATCAGCCATAGTACTTACGTTAATAATACATAAGTTTTGAATAAAACAATATTTCAAAAATACAAATTTATATACAAAAAAATGGTTATAAACTTATAAATTATAAATAGAAGTTAAGTAAATTAATTTTCAGTTTATTCAGAGCGAAATTGTTAAAATATTATATATAGCGTCATTGCTGTAATCCACAGGTGCCCCAAATAAAACATAAAAATGAACATATAAACAAAAAATTTTTTTTTCGTCTAAAAATGATACACGTTTCACAAACAACACATGTGATTTTTAGTACAATTGGATTATTCTAGAAAAATTTTTAATAGTATGGTATTTCTTGTATTTGACGATCATTTGCATCTATAAATAGTAAAATCCCCCGAAAATTAATTATAAAAATACTACACGTGATTGCCGAATTACGAATTAACTGTAAAAAAAACGTTATTTTGACATTTTTTTAAATTAACTATAATAAAAAAAATGTTATTTTGATGTTTTTAACTTTTTTAACATTATTTTAAATTAGCTATAATAAAAAAATGTTATGTTTTTTTAATAATAACAATTGTGTATACCTCCTTTCAAGAATAATCAATCTTATGACAATGGTTTCTTTTGAACAACATGAAGAAATTTTTGAAACTATTATTAAAACGAAAAGGAGAATAATTTGTTGGAGATAAGTAAAAAAATTTCTGGATCAAGCAAAAGAACTATATAACTATATATAGACTTGAATTATGTAAATATTAATAATACTGATAGTAATAATAACTATAAGTAGTACGATAGTATTTTGGATTTATTTAAAACTAATGGATATTGTAGGCTAAGCCCTTTTTCTAAGATGATATTGAATGAGAATGATGACAATATTTATGACGATCCAGTAACTGAAACAATCATTAATTTTCGTTGGCAAGAAGCAAGAAATTTATTTTTGTTTCTCTTTATCTGATTTCTATTTGTTTTATATTAACTAGCAGTTAGTTGGGCATATTTGAATAATGGCAATATTATAAATGGAAATTTTTTATTGGTATTAATTTTCGTGTTTTATTATTTGGCAGTTTATCAACTTATTACTGAAGTATTACAATTCTATTATCATGGACCTAAGAATTATTTTGGTGAAATATTCAATATCTTAACTTTTAAGCACAACTTCCATTAAATGAAAATACAGTCAGAACTCGATATAATGAACCCTCCGGTTAGGCAATTTTGGATCGTTATATCAGATATTTGATAAATCAAATATTCTTAATATACTGATTATATAGTAAAAAATATAAAAATTCGGTATACCAAATTTTTATTAATAAAAAAAATGATTTTAATTGTATTACATGTTGTGCTAATTTGTTTATTATTAATATCATATTCTTACAGAAATTATTAAATTCCAAAATTAAGGCATAAATGTCAGGTGATCTGCTGCGCTGCATAGTGCCAGCTGGGAATAAGTTAATTCTGGCCAGAGTTAGGTGGTAATCGGCTTATCGCGAATAATAAATACATATAACTGGTTTATGATCAAACTTCGTTATATATAATATCACGAAATTTATAATAAAATCGGTATATAGTGATAAAATTTAATATAGACGGTTTTGGTTTGAGAAAAAAGTTCATTATAGGCTAAAATCGGTTTATCACGAATCGTTATATCAAGTTCTGACTGTAACTTAAATGCTTATAAATGTTCATTTTTCCATTTTCTTAATTGGTAAGTTATTAATTTGCAATTGATCATCATCTATATAAAAATATACAAATTTTTTATATCTCCGATTGACAGGTACGTATAAAATATGTATTAGCTATTAATTTAATAAGAAGTATTATTCTTACTTATCTTCCTCTCAACAGATATTGGTATTTATTTTTATAGTATAATAATTATCGTAATTCTGCTCCTTTTACTTATGTCGATTGTAATGTATAAATTCGGACACATAATATTGGTAACTTGGTATGAAAACTTTATTATTTTATTCGTTTCATTTTAAATTAAACTATATTTATCTATTTATTATAAATAGATGCACAGATTTTATGAATGAGTATGATGAATCTATTTGCTATAAATCTTTTTCCAAAGCTATAATATTTGCTAGGATTATTGATAATTTGGTTCAAAAAATGAAGATAATTTGCTTACTTTGATTGTTTGTATATCCCTTGTAATTATTACAAATCATAACTGATAATTGCTATTCTTACGGTGTAAAGTCTTTTTTTTTTTTAAAATAAATTTAATTATTATTAACTTTTATTTATACATTTGTTGTTTTAGTATAATATCATAAACTAAAATAGATGAGCATTATTAAGTCATCGAGCGAATCTTATAGCAGATTATAAACTTGAACCAAAACATATTTATTATTTTGGACAATCTAATATATTAGAAGATTCTTATTTATAAAGGATTTGAATTTTAATTGATGAAGCTTCAATTTTTTGTATAT